GGAGTTTGCAAGATTCATTGCACAGCTTTCGCTTGGAGATCAAGCGGGGTGGGATTTTTGTGAACACATCAAGCTTCAGCACTCATTTTGTCATGCCAAGACGGACACCATCCATGCCGACATGTAGTGTGAACTCAAGAAGAACAAACAGTGCCTTTGTGAGCCCAAGCCACTGTGTGGACCAGCTTGTTGATAGTGGTTAAGCACCTCTCATTCTCACGTTAGAGTGTCCAAATCATTTATGTGAGCGCATGCCTGTCCTGATCAAGACCTCCTTAAAGAAAGTTGAACAATGTGTCCCAACATGATTGGCCAGTGGCTGGTGACATGCTGGTAAAGGGTACACGTGTGCAGTGTGATTGTCATCGTCAGCAGCATGAGAACAAGTCGTGTTGCAAGTGCTTTGTCACATAATTGGGGACGAAAGCACCCCGCTTTCGCGAAAACAACGCTTTGCCTGCTGGCATATGCTGGCCATGTGTCGTACAGCGCAAAAAAGACTCAGACATCTGTAGGCAGGAGTTTTCGCGTGGAGATCAACGGGGTGGGGTTCTCTTGAAGACATCAAGCTTCAGCACTCATTTTTGTCAAGTTGACACTATCCGAATTAGGGAAAGGTCTGTGTCGACTTGTAAGTGCACGTAGTGTGAACTCAAGAAGGACAAACAGTGCGTTAGTGAGCCCAAGCCACTGTGTGGACCAGCTTGTTGATAATGGTTAGGCACCTCTCATTCTCATGTTAAAGTGTCCAAATCATTTATGTGAGCGCATGGCCTTCTCAAAGAGAGTTTGACAATGGGTCCCAGCATGATTGGCCAGCGACATGCTAATAAAGGGTACAAGTGTGCAGTGTGATTGTCATCGTCAGCCTGAAAACAAGCCGTCTTGCAAGTGATCTATCACATCGCGGGAATTCAAGCACCTTGCCTTCGTGAAAGCAACACTTTGCCTGTTGGCATATGCTGGCCATGTGCCGTACAGCACAGAACAAGACTCCACTACGGCTAGGCAGGAGTTTGCAAGGTTCATTGCACAGCGATCAATGGCACAGCGATCAATGGGGTGTGGTTCTCGTGATAACATCAAGCTTCAACACTTCTCTTGCCAAGTTGACGCCATGCCAAGAAGGGAAAGGTCCATGTCTAGTTGCAACTGGACGTAGTGCGGACGCAAGACCTACAAACCG